CCCTCTATTCTCACCAGAACTCCACACTCCCCTCTATTCTCACCGGAACTCCACACTCCCCTCTATCTCACCAGAACTCCACACTGCCCTCTATTCTCACCAGAACTCCACACTCCCCTCTATTCTCACCGGAATTCTACACTCCCTTCTATTCCCACCAGAACTCCACACTCCCCTCTATTCTCACCAGAACTCCACACTCCCCTCTATTCCCACCGGAACTCCACACTCCTCTCTATTCCCACCGGAACTCCACACTCCCCTCTATTCTCACCAGAACTCCACACTCCCCTCTATTCTCACCAGAACTCCACACTCCCCTCTATTCTCACCGGAACTCCACACTCCCCTCTATTCCCACCGGAACTCCACACTCCCCTCTATTCTCACCGGAATTCTACACTCCCCTCTATTCCCACCAGAACTCCACACTCCCCTCTATTCTCACCAGAACTCCACACTCCCCTCTATTCCCACCGGAACTCCACACTCCTCTCTATTCCCACCGGAACTCCACACTCCCCTCTATTCTCACCAGAACTCCACACTCCCCTCTATTCTCACCAGAACTCCACACTCCCCTCTATTCTCACCGGAACTCCACACTCCCCTCTATTCCCACCGGAACTCCACACTCCCCTCTATTCTCACCGGAACTCCACACTCCCCTCTATTCCCACCGGAACTCCACACTCCCCTCTATTCTCACCGGAACTCCACACTCCCCTCTATTCCCACCGGAACTCCACACTCCCCTCTATTCCCACCGGAACTCCACACTCCCCTCTATTCTCACCAGAACTCCACGCTCCCCTCTATTCCCACCGGAACTCCACACTCCCCTCTATTCTCACCGGAACTCCACACTCCCCTCTATTCCCACCGGAACTCCACACTCCCCTCTATTCTCACCGGAACTCCACACTCCCCTCTATTCCCACCGGAACTCCACACTCCCCTCTATTCTCACCGGAACTCCACACTCCCCTCTATTCCCACCGGAACTCCACACTCCCCTCTATTCCCACCGGAACTCCACACTCCCCTCTATTCTCACCAGAACTCCACGCTCCCCTCTATTCCCACCGGAACTCCGCACTCCCCTCTATTCTCATCGGAACTCCACACTCCCCTCTATTCTCACCAGAACTCCACACTCCCCTCTATTCTCACCGGAACTCCACACTCCCCTCTATTCTCATCGGAACTCCACACTCCCCTCTATTCTCACCAGAACTCCACACTCCCCTCTATTCTCACCGGAACTCCACACTCCCCTCTATTCTCACCAGAACTCCACACTCCCCTCTATTCTCATCAGAACTCCACACTCCCCTCTATTCCCACCGGAACTCCACACTCCCCTCTATTCTCACCAGAACTCCACGCTCCCCTCTATTCCCACCGGAACTCCGCACTCCCCTCTATTCTCATCGGAACTCCACACTCCCCTCTATTCTCACCAGAACTCCACACTCCCCTCTATTCTCACCGGAACTCCACACTCCCCTCTATTCTCATCGGAACTCCACACTCCCCTCTATTCTCACCAGAACTCCACACTCCCCTCTATTCTCACCGGAACTCACACTCCCCTCTATTCTCACCAGAACTCCACACTCCCCTCTATTCTCACCAGAACTCCACACTCCCCTATATTCTCATCGGAACTCCACACTCCCCTCTATTCTCACCAGAACTCCACACTCCCCTCTATTCTCACCGGAACTCCACACTCCCCTCTATTCTCACCGGAACTCCACACTCCCCTCTATTCCCACCGGAACTCCACACTCCCTTCTATTCTCACCAGAACTCCACACTCCCCTCTATTCTCACCGGAACTCCACACTCCCCTCTATTCTCACCAGAACTCCACACTCCCCTCTATTCTCACCAGAACTCCACACTCCCCTCTATTCTCACCAGAACTCCACACTCCCCTCTATTCTCATCGGAACTCCACACTCCCCTCTATTCTCACCAGAACTCCACACTCCCCTCTATTCTCACCGGAACTCCACACTCCCCTCTATTCTCACCGGAACTCCACACTCCCCTCTATTCCACCGGAACTCCACACTCCCCTCTATTCTCACCAGAACTCCACACTCCCCTCTATTCTCACCAGAACTCCACACTCCCCTCTATTCTCACCGGAACTCCACACTCCCCTCTATTTCTCACCGGAACTCCACACTCTTCTCTATTCCCACCGGAACTCCACACTCCCTCTATTCTCACCAGAACTCCACACTCCCCTCTATTCTCACCAGAACTCCACGCTCCCCTCTATTCTCACCAGAACTCCACACTCCCCTCTATTCTCACCAGAACTCCACACTCCCCTCTATTCTCATCGGAACTCCACACTCCCCTCTATTCTCACCGGAACTCCACACTCCCCTCTATTCTCACCAGAACTCCACACTCCCCTCTATTCTCACCAGAACTCCACACTCCCCTCTATTCTCACCAGAACTCCACACTCCCCTCTATTCTCACCAGGAACTCCACACTCCCCTCTATTCTCACCGGAACTCCACACTCCCCTCTATTCTCACCGGAACTCCACACTCCCCTCTATTCTCACCGGAACTCCACACTCCCCTCTATTCTCACCGGAACTCCACACTCCCCTCTATTCTCACCGGAACTCCACACTCCCCTCTATTCTCACCAGGAACTCCACACTCCCCTCTATTCTCACCAGAACTCCACACTCCCCTCTATTCTCACCAGAACTCCACACTCCCCTCTATTCTCACCAGAACTCCACACTCCCCTCTATTCTCATCGGAACTCCACACTCCCCTCTATTCTCACCAGAACTCCACACTCCCCTCTATTCTCACCGGAACTCCACACTCCCCTCTATTCTCACCGGAACTCCACACTCCCCTCTATTCCCACCGGAACTCCACACTCCCCTCTATTCTCACCGGAATTCTACACTCCCCTCTATTCCCACCAGAACTCCTCACTCCCCTCTATTCTCACCAGAACTCCACACTCCCCTCTATTCTCACCGGAACTCCACACTCCCCTCTATTCTCACCAGAACTCCACACTGCCCTCTATTCTCACCAGAACTCCACACTCCCCTCTATTCTCACCGGAATTCTACACTCCCCTCTATTCCCACCAGAACTCCACACTCCCCTCTATTCCCATCAGAACTCCACACTCCCCTCTATTCTCACCAGAACTCCACACTCCCCTCTATTCCCACCAGAACTCCACCCTCCCCTCTATTCTCACCGGAACTCCACACTCTCCTCTATTCCCACCAGAACTCCACGCTCCCCTCTATTCTCACCGGAACTCCACACTCCCCTCTATTCCCACTGGAACTCCACGCTCCCCTCTATTCTCACCGGAACTCCACACTCCCCTCTATTCCCACCAGAACTCCACACTCCCCTCTATTCTCACCAGAACTCCACACTCCCCTCTATTCCCACCGGAACTCCACACTCCCCTCTATTCCCACCGGAACTCCACACTCCCCTCTATTCCCATCGGAACTCCACAATCCCCTTTATTCCCACCGGAACTCCACACTCCCCTCTATTCCCACCAGAACTCCACACTCCCCTCTATTCTCACCGGAACTCCACACTCCCCTCTATTCCCACCGGAACTCCACACTCCCTTCTATTCTCACCGGAACTCCACACTCCCCTCTATTCCCACCGGAACTCCACACTCCCCTCTATTCCCACCAGAACTCCACACTCCCCTCTATTCTCACCGGAACTCCACACTCCCCTCTATTCCCACCGGAACTCCACACTCCCCTCTATTCCCACCAGAACTCCACACTCCCCTCTATTCTCACCGGAACTCCACACTCCCCTCGATTCCCACCGGAACTCCACACTCCCCTCTATTCTCACCGGAACTCCACACTCCCCTCTATTCCCACCGGAACTCCACACTCCCCTCTATTCTCACCGGAACTCCACACTCCCCTCTATTCCCACCGGAACGCCACACTCCCCTCTATTCCCACCGGAACTCCACACTCCCCTCTATTCTCACCGGAACTCCACACTCCCCTCTATTCTCACCGGAACTCCACACTCCCCTCTATTCTCACCAGAACTCTACACTCCCCTCTATTCCCACCGGAACTCCACACTCCCCTCTATTCTCACCGGAACTCCACACTCCCCTCTATTCCCACCGGAACTCCACACTCCCCTCTATTCTCACCGGAACTCCACACTCCCCTCTATTCCCACCGGAACTCCACACTCCCCTCTATTCTCACCGGAACTCCACACTCCCCTCTATTCCCACCGGAACTCCACACTCCCCTCTATTCCCACCGGAACTCCACGCTCCCCTCTATTCCCACCGGAACTCCGCACTCCCCTCTATTCTCATCGGAACTCCACACTCCCCTCTATTCTCACCAGAACTCCACACTCCCCTCTATTCTCACCGGAACTCCACACTCCCCTCTATTCTCATCGGAACTCCACACTCCCCTCTATTCTCACCAGAACTCCACACTCCCCTCTATTCCAACCGGAACTCCTCACTCCCCTCTATTCTCACCGAAACTCCACACTCCCCTCTATTCCCACCAGAACTCCACACTCCCCTCTATTTCCACCGGAACTCCACACTCCCCTCTATTTCCACCAGAACTCCACACTCCCCTCTATTCCCACCGGAACTCCACACTTCCCTCTATTCCCACCGGAACTCCACACTCCCCTCTATACTCACCGGAACTCCACACTCCCCTCTATTCTCACCGGAACTCCACACTCCCCTCTATTCTCACCGGAATTCCACACTCCCCTCTATTCTCACCAGAACTCCACACTCCCCTCTATTCTCACCAGAACTCCACGCTTTCCTCTATTCTCACCGGAACTCCACGCTCCCCTCTATTCTCACCAGAACTCCACACTCCCCTCTATTCTCACCAGACATGGCGCGCAGTCCTCACCATAGCGCGAGAGGAGGAATCGCGAGCGCGCGAGGCAAAACTTAAATAGAAAATATTTCGTTGGAATTAAATGAGTAGTATGTTTAAGCATCTTGTCTTGCAAAAAATTCGAGTGCGTTTTAAATAGTGTTCATCAGTAACACTTTTGAAAACCGACAATCATCATATCTTGCCCTGACCGAACAATGTCTCCCAAATGTTGGTTGTTCACTTGTTTAGAATTATAATTTATATCGTGAGCATTGTCGTATATTGCATAAGTAACGTACATTAAAGAAGTGATCTTCGTGATGATGTATCAACTAGATGCATGTAAGTATGAACGTTACGGGAGTAATCGAGCCCAAAGGCAGGCGTGATAAACACAGTGAGTATGGTGGCAACTCCCTCACTAGAGCTGAGTGCTGGATGATCTCAGCGACGTCCGCATTCAGTACGCCGCTTCTATAATAACCTCGGGCCTGGAGGACGCTCGGTTCGAATTCGTGAGAGCGCTGATTTCGATTTCCAAGAGGCGAGGCGATAAAAGCGACGTCTTGAGATGGCGGAAACTGCTCCTGCTCAACCACCAGCTGCGGCTACTTCAGCGCCTAAAAGCCCCAAGAAGAAGCGCGCCGCTCCAAAGGCCAAGAAGGTCGGCCCCAGCGTGTCCGAGCTCATCCTCAAGGCTCTGGCCAGCAGCAAGGAGAGGAACGGCGTGTCTCTTCCTGCGCTCAAAAAGTCGCTTGCTGCCGGAGGATACGACGTGGAGAAGAACAATGCCCGCGTGAAGTTGGCCATCAAGAAGCTCGTGGCCAAAGACGCCGTGGCGCAAGTGAAGGGCAGCGGCGCGTCTGGCTCTTTCAAACTCAACAAGGAAAAGGCTGCCGCAAAGGCGAAGCCCAAGTCGTCAACGGCAAAGCCCGCAGCTAAAAAGCCCGCGGCAGCCAAGAAGGTGAAGAAGCCCGCGGCAGCCAAGAAGACCGCGCCCAAGAAGTCTCCCAAGAAAGCAAAGAAGCCCGCGGCTGCCAAGGCGGCCAAGAGCCCCAAAAAGGTGAAGTCGGCTGTTAAGCCCAAGAAGGCGGCGAAGAGCCCAGCCAAGCCCAAGGCTGCGAAGCCCAAGGTCGCTAAGCCCAAGACCGTCAAGGCCAAGGCCGCCAAACCCAAGGTGGCCAAGCCCAAGAAGGCCGCGGCCAAGCCCAAAAAGACTGCGCCAAAGAAGTGAATCCGATGGGACGACCGACGCTCGATTCACTCCACCTCAACGGCTCTTTTCAGAGCCACCCACTTCGTTCAAAAAGTGAACCAGATGCTGTGTGGGGGCCGTTGGCCCCCGGGGTCCCTCCCGCCTGCATCCCCTATTCCGTTTACGTTACCCCACCTCCCTATTACTCGCTACGGTTTCGCCGGCATTCGAATGCGACGCCCCTACTGTTACAGCCTCGCGCCGCGCTCCCACGCTGCGAGCATACGTGCGCACATCATCGTCAATCAAACGCCGTGCTCGCAGTATAGCCCTGTGCGGCACGTTACCAATGCGCATCCGTATCCGACATGTAACGAACGTATGCACACACACACACACGCCGCTCCGTGCACTCCAACTCCACACCAACTACGCAAGTTATGATCGCGCACCTGTATCACACACGGAGTGAACACACGCGACACCCACTCTTGCGCCGCTCTGCGCAGCGCTCGCCGTCTGCTGGCCGCTTGCGTTATGATCGCGCACCTGGGGTACGCCTATTACGCACGCCGCGAGCTTACGCACACACAGTACCACACGCGTTCCCACACGCAACCCGCGTGCTCAGCTCCGCGCAGCGCTCACTCACGTGGCGAACCACTGTGCACACAGCGCACCTGTTGGGGCCGCTGGTCCCCGGAGTCCCTCCCTGCTCCGTGCCTATGGCAGGGGCTCCGCCGTGCGCCGACCCCTCGCTGCTCTGCGAGCAGCTGCTGCCGTCGCTGGGCTCATCGCCCGACGGCTCCCCTCCCTGGTCCGTCCCTCCGCGAGCTCGTGTGAGAGGCATAGCTCACCGCACGCCCTCGTTCACCTGCAGACGCTGCGTTGTCTCTCCACGGATCACGCGCTATTAAACGGGGGTCGGGGGCGAACGACACTGCCCTCACACTGCGCGAGTCCCGGCGGCGACAGACGGATCGGGGACCTGCGGACGCACCGACCCCTTCACCCACACTACGAGCGCACACACCTGCACACACGCGACACCCACTCGTGCGCCGCTCTACGCAGCGCTCACTCACGTGGTGAACCACAGTGTACACACGCGCACCCACACGCTCACACTGCACGACAATATCACGCGAGACCACGCTTCGCTATTAATGATTTATTATCTGATACCTGGTAATTTAATGTTAAATCAGTGAGTCGACGAGGCTGGCCTACGCTGATACCTTTATACCTATTCCCGATTTATCTGCTATGATTCTAATTCACCTACTTACTTCCTGCTGGATGCCCACGGCGGTTCGTTGATCCCGTGCTCGCAGCGCACCTCGATGCGTCTCACGGACGATCGGGTCGCTGGACTGGAGAGCGTCCTGTCGCCTGGCGCTGGAGAGAAGAGAGCGATTTCCCCTCCGTGCTCCTCTATTTATCCTCCCTACCTCCAAAGGGGATGCTGCGCTGAACAATGGGCTCGTGCACCCCAAGCCCGCGCACGGCAGTCCCCAGGCGCTGTTGATATGCTAATCAGTGAGCGACGTTGGCGGCGTACATCCTAATTACTCCCTTACCCTTCCTAACAATGGGGCCTGCGCGCTCAAGCGCAATTATCCCAACCCCCCATGACTATGCGCAACAGCCCCTGTGACCCCGCTATTCATGCTGTCTCGTGCCTCCCCTGCTTGCCCCGTCGACTCGTGGGGGTGTGTGTGGGGGGAAATGCGCCTCAACCGCGGTGGCCGAATGCCCCACGCCGCGACCACACCATATTAAGGCCGGCAGCAGCGCCGCGGTACCACGTAGCACGGGGGAGGTCATCCAATTCCCTGATCGCCGGAAACCGTGAGAATTAATCCCGATAAGGGTCTCTCGGATAAAAACCGGTCGGCCAGGCGACCTCCCCTCGGAGCTCTATGGGGGGGGGGGGGAATGAGTGCAGGTGTGTTCATGTGAGGTGAGGTGAGGGGGACGCGGGGTCGGCTCCGTTGCTTGGTGGTGGCGAGGTCGGGGATTTGGTGCCTGCCGAACGGCTTCGTGGCGGCGGCATCACACACCCACACGCTCACACTGCACGACAAGATCACGCGAGACCACGCTTCGCTATTAATGATTTATTATATGCCACCTGCGAATTGATGTTGAATCAGTGAGTCGACGAGGCTGGCCTATTCCACTAAACCTGTACCTATTCCCTATTTATCGGCTATGATTCTAATTCCCCTTCTTACTCACTGTTAAGTGTCCACGGCGGTCCGCTGATCCTTGTGTTAACCGCGTGCCTCGGTGCGTCGCACGGACGTCCGGGTCGCTGGCTCGAGCTGCGTCTGGTCGCCTGGCGCTGGAGTAAGAGAGCGATTTCCCCTCTGCGCTCCTCTATTTATCCTCCCTACCTCCAAAGGGGATGCTGCGCTGAACAATGGGCTCGTGCACCCCAAGCCCGCGCACGGCAGTCCCCAGGCGCTGTTGATATGCTAATCAGTGAGCGACGTTGGCGGCGTACATCTGTGGTGCCACAGCGACGGGGCCGCTCTGCCGAGCCAGGGAGCCGCCCGGCTTCCCCCACCGCACTGCCCCCAATCACCCGCCCCACATAAGCACACACCCGCACGCATCCCCCCCCCCCCCCCCCCCATAGAGCTGGAAGGGAAGGTTACCCGATCGACCGGTTTTTATCCGAGAGACCCTTATCGGGATTAATTCTCACGGTTTCCGGCGATCAGGGAATTGGATGACCTCCCCCGTGCTACGTGGTACCGCGGCGCTGCTGCCGGCCTTAATATGGTATGGTCGCGGCGTGGGGCATTCGGCCACCGCGGTTGAGGCGCATTTCCCCCCACACACACCCCCACGAGTCGACGGGGCAAGCAGGGGAGGCACGGGACAGCATGAATAGCGGGGTCACAGGGGCTGTTGCGCATAGTCATGGAGGGTTGGGATAATTGCGCTTGAGCGCGCAAGCCCCATTGTTAGGAAGGGTAAGGGAGTAATTAGGATTTACGCCTTGCACGCAGCACACTGATTAGCATATCAACAGCGCCTGGGGACTGCCGTGCGCGGGCTTGGGGTGCACGAGCCCATTGTTCAGCGCAGCATCCCCTTTGGAGGTAGGGAGGATAAATAGAGGAGCGCAGAGGGGAAATCGCTCTCTTACTCCAGCGCCAGGCGACCAGACGCAGCTCGAGCCAGCGACCCGAACGTCCGTGCGACGCACCGAGGCACGCGGTTAACACAAGGATCAGCGGACCGCCGTGGACACTTAACAGTGAGTAAGAAGGGGAATTAGAATCATAGCCGATAAATAGGGAATAGGTACAGGTTTAGTGGAATAGGCCAGCCTCGTCGACTCACTGATTCAACATCAATTCGCAGGTGGCATATAATAAATCATTAATAGCGAAGCGTGGTCTCGCGTGATCTTGTCGTGCAGTGTGAGCGTGTGGGGGCGCTGTGTGCACAGTGGTTCGCCACGTGAGTGAGCGCTGCGCGGAGCTGAGCGCGCGGGTTGCGTGTGGGGACGCGTGTGGTACTGTGTGTGCGTAAGCTCGCGGCGTGCGTAATCGGCGTACCCCAGGTGCGCGATTGTAACGTGAGCGGCCAGCGCGGCGCAGAGAAGCGCAAGAGTGAGTGCCATACAGAGCTGTGTGTGTGGGTGTGCGCGTACGTAATTAACCATGCCTGCTACGCGGACCCGCGGTGGAGTGGAACCCTCGGGCGACGGCTCCCACACCATGGGTGAGGAACTTAGCAGCGGTTCGCTTAGCAGCGGGGGGGCGATTGATGATGCTAGCCCGGCCGTTAGCATTATCGAGGGAGGGATTTCGGGGGCTAGCGACCCCCACAAATTGGTGTCAGAAGTGGGATGGACCCCCGCGTTACCTCACGCTAAAATAAGACTAATATTTACCGGCCGGGGGGCCCCTTCGTGGAAGGCATTCGCCCGCAATCTCTTAGGGGCCAAGGAAATTAATGGATGGACGGACGCGCAGGCAGTACGTCAACTTAATATGAATCTTGATGGGCGGGCAGCCGATTTTGTAGAAGCGTTACCCGCGAGCGCACAGACACAGCTAGAGGAGCTGATGCACCGACTCGATCAGCGCTTTGGCACGCGTGACGAGGAGGAAGCAAAATCGGCCTTAGAGGCGCGCCGGCGCCAACCTGGCGAAGATCTACGTGATTACGCCGAGGATGTGCGCGAGTTAATAAAGATCGCACGCCCGGGGTACGCAACTGATGTTATTGAGGAACTGGCCGCCGAGAAAATCCAGCGGTACCTGTCTCGCACGGCGTGGTGGCAGCCAGACATGAGCTGCCCACGTCTTCCCTTTAACACCCTTGTCGAGCGCGCACGTAAGTGTGAAAGAATTCACAGCGAACGCGCGCAGCTCCGGGGGCTGGGACGAGAGCGCGCCATTGCGAGCCTGCTCTCGGAAGACGAGGAGGAGGAACAGGAGCTCGCGAGGAAGGTAAGGGGCCGGGAAAGAGAGCCTCCAGTGTCCCGCGAGACAACCCCGGGATGGGTTGCCGGTATACAAACGGGTATAAAGGATGTCTCCGGCCAGGTAAACCAGGTACGCGAGGACGCAAATAAAAATATGAAGACCCTCCAGTCTGAGATGGGTGAACTACGCTCGACAGTAGGGGGACTAGCCGGGAGGGTGTCCCAATTAGAGGCCGATTTGGGACAACTGCGTACTGGGAGAGGGAGCGGACAGGGGACCCGCTACGGAGCCGCCCCCCCTCCCCGGGCATGTTATATGTGCGATCGCCGAGGGCATCTAGTGAGGGATTGTCCGGAAATCACCCGAGCTAGACAGACACGGGGGTTAAACTCCAACGCCCCCTAGAGAGCGGACCAACTAGGGGTGCAATCGACGCGGTCCCGATACAGATAGACGATAATGAGAATAATGGCGAGCGAGTGATCTCCACACAGGTTCCAGCAACAACGCCCACAGAAACGGTGACTCCTGGCGACTGGCTGCGGGAGCTGGTGGCGGGGATCACGGGGGCCACGTCGCTGGTGGAAGGGGAGGTAAACGGAG